TGACGCAAGTGTTTGTTGGAAGCGCTGGTAGAATCTGCTTCGCGTCGGTACAGACCAGCCGAGGTCAGAAGCTGCGACCAGTCCCCGTACTATTCCCGAATGAACCAGCGAAAGGATTTACTAGCAAGAAAGGGAACCAATTCAAGATATTGAAGATCAACAAATGAAAAGGGATTCATATTCAACCGAACGCGAATTAAAAGCTTCATGGAATAGGGAAAACTTTCCACAAGCCAATTATGGAGCTTTGAATTGTGAGAAAAGTGTTTCCGGAATTTCGGTCGCAAAACCTGATAACTCTTTTCTGTTGATCCACTATTTGACAGTTCAATTGGTTCCGAAAAATTCTCTCCGCCAGATTGTAAATAAAGCGACTGTCTGTAGGGTTTACGAGCGGGGGAATGTTGCCGTCGGTAAAAGCGAGCACTCAGTTGCGAATGGGTGATTACCGTGAACGCGCCCGTCCACTGACAGTTATCGACGGCAAATGAAGATGAACCAAATGAAAGGCACGCATACATGCGAATTATACTGATGCAAAATTTGAAATTTTCGCTCCACAGTGTTCAAACGGTTTCAAATCGAGTCCTGATTAGCCTCCGAAAGTTTAAACTCATTTGATAAGAAACTGAGTTGGCACAAACCATTTACAGTTTAAATGGAAATTACTATGGAAAAACAAAACTTTTTTTCATTGTCGTCTACTCTTTTTACATATTGTACTGTTAACAAATTCCATTGCTATTCTTATGGGAATTTTTATCAGATACAACTTAGCAGAAAATCATTTTTCAGCCAAACGTCAATTGTTTAAGGGGATCATAATCTTATGGAAAGATTAGGCAAATGTATTGTGGACAACACTGTATTCTGCAGTGTGACATACCCAACAAACAATTTTAGCTGCAGCTTAGCTTATACAGGCAAAAATTAGCTGCAAAAGGCATATTTTGGCTGTATAAGCAAATCTGCAGCTAAAATTGTTTGTTGGGTAGTAGCTATGATTTTTGTCCTCTATTCTACGCGCCACGGGACCACTTTTGCGGATGTTCCGGGTCTTCCGGAGGATCAGACTTGTGACTTTCCAGATGCTAAATTTTCCCAAGAGGTGGTCAGCTATCTTGTTAATAACTTTTCAGAAGACACCATGAATACAATAAGAGTTTGTCCCCAATTAGCTCTAATCCCATTTGGTACGTGTATTCGTTAATGCCGGTTCCTATTGTGTGGTCCCCATTAACCGTACTATAGGAATCGTGACTGTATACTTAAAATTATATGAGTTAAATCAAATTTCAAGCAAGCGGTTTAATTATTTTTTTAAGCACCATTTTTAGTAATAAATTTACTTTATTTGTTTCTTATTCCAATGCCTTTGATTCAAATCAACGACAAGTTCACCTTTAGGAAAAACAAAACTCTTGCCCTTTGAATGTTCTCCTGCCGTCGGTCGTCGTGAAAATGAAGTCCAGCTGAGTGGAACTAATTTACGAATGCTAATCCATTAACTCGGAGGAAATGGCTTTCACTCCTTTCCACTTACATCCTTTGGGGTGGTTTTCGCTTGATCAGTCGTCCTCGGCGTCGGTCGTCGGTGGGTTTCATATTAATAAACACTGGTCACGAAATGGGCCGCTCGGTGAGCGTTTTTGGATGCCTAAATCGTATTATTTGCGGTTGGATTATCGTGTGTTTCCATGAATTCGTTTCAGTACACCCGCAGTTGTGACCTGTGAGTGGTGATGATTGATGTTCTGGTACGTTGCCTTCGGATTTTTTTCACAGTCGATTGAAATTCTCCGGGCGAAAACAATAGAAGAGTCACGTAAGAGGTCAACAAAGTACTTCAAATAGAGCGGCTTAGAAATCTTAGGAGTTTGTTATATATAAGGCAAGGTTGATGCTGCCATCGAAGCAGGCGAAGAATGCTTTGATGCTCGTGGCCTGCTACAATTAGGATATGAATCATTTTCATTGAAAATAATTCTGCTTTCCCGAAGTAAATTAATCGCAAGGTTATCCATTTCGGAGAATCGACCAAAGAGGATTATTTTTTTGTAAAACCGCAATCAAATGAAATCCACATAGGCTCATTTGTTACATAATATCAATAGCCGTTTGTATTTGTTCCACACACGCAGGAAAAGCCCCATCCAAGGGGTGCAACAAAAAAAAAATGATTCGATTATTATTATCTCCTCCGATAAGCCGAAAATTTCATTAAATAACCGTTGTGCAGTTTTTGTTGCTGCCAAAAGGAAAGTCGGGAAAAAATAGCCCTCTCCCTTCGCCAATCAACGAGACCACTCATTGATTGGTGAAGTGCGTGGACCCGGGAGGGACGCGACAGTGCTGATGCGATAATCATTTTTTTTGTTCGGGATAATCCTTTTAAATGTGTGTTTTCATTGGTTGGTCAAGTGGTTAATGGATTTGCAGTTCTTTATTGAGTGTTATTTTCTTTCACGAAGATAGATTTTAAAATTTTAATTTTTAATTACGAAATGGAATTGAGAATTTGTTTATGCAACATTCACAACATTGTCTAGCAACTGCTTCATCGTTATGAAATATTTTCTCGTACCGAACAAATAAGTGTCGGGGAATAAGTAAGCTGGGTCACGTTTGGCGTAGATTTTTGGTTTTCGCTAATGGTTCTAGCTTTCACAGGAAAGCTGAAATCATCTTTTGACTTCCCGGCAGCCTCGCTTATGTGCAACCTGTATGATCCGAGCGTAAGCCATGTGTGCCCTCTTACAAAGGGAGACAAATGGTGTGGTAAATTAATTGGTCGTAATTAACATGATTTATAGTCAATTTGCCGCTAACGTTCCCGCTTGTGCTTAAGAAGAAGGTTAGTCAGTCTTGTAAATCATTTCCAAGGTTTGTGGTTAATTAACAACGAAAAAAGAGGTGTTGTGGTATCGTCAAGGGTTTTTCGGAAAATAATAATCAATTTGGAGAATCTTGTGTTTATGCCTCACCTTATCTGTTGTGCATTCCTCAAAATATTAATGTAATATTCATTTGAATGGTCTTTAGAAAAGCTGTAATTAAGAACAAATATACAGAATTAGATTTAAATCAGATGCAGCCATGAAGTCGTGGACAGTGGACCGAGACTGCCTAAAAATGTGTGTTTTATTACTTCAGGTTTGTAAACGAGATCTTAGAAGAGTGGTGAAAACGCTTGGTGGGTAGGGTAATGATCCCATTAATCACTCACTTTATCATAAAAATGAAGTCAAAATTGGTTTCATGGAATGATACGTCTATGATCAATGATAGCAAAGCCACCACCGGAGCCATCAATTCAATCATTTCGATAAATGAACTATTTAATTTGCGTTCTTTTTAACCTTATGGTCAGTTATTGCGGCGATATGTACGTTATGCTCTCGAAAAATTAAATAGCTCATCCTCATTATCTTCAAAAGATTGAGCATTCCAATTCAAAATATGTAATGATTTAAAATTCATTACTGAATTTCAAGTAATGACGAATTTGTTCGCAAATTTAACTCCAATTTGAATTGCATCCATACTTGAATTTTACGATGTACAAACGTTCCGTGCAAAAAGCATGGAAATCAGAAGTGGTTATCACAATAGAAGGGACCTTTCCCTTCTTGGCATTACGCCATTAAGATAGTTTAGTGGAATCCTTGAGCATATCAAAATGATTGTTCAACCGAATTTCATCAGAAGGGGGATCAAGAGATTGTTGCGAAATTTCCGGTACATAGGGGTAGAGCAAATTACCGAAAGCGATTCTCAAAGCTCAACACTAGAATGTTGCGAACGTTTGAGTAAGTAGCTTGATTGTTGTTCTTGTCGTTGTGGTTTTAGTTGCGTATACTTCGGGCCATTTGGTGTACGGGTCGACAACTACCAGGAAAAATACGCCATCCACAGGTCCTGCGTAGTCAATATGGATGCGTGACCACGGCTTATCAGGGATGGGCCACGATTCAAGCGTTGTTTTGACTGGTGCTTTTCCAGCAGTGCAGCAGGGAGTGCATTGCCGGACGAAATTCTCGATGTCGTTGTTGATTCCGGGCCAGTAAACGAAATTGCGTGCAATAGACTTCATTCATACCATGCCGAGATGTCCGCGATGAAACTGCTTCAGGATTTGACTTCTGAAGTTGCTCGGAACGACTACCCTGTCGTGGAACAGTATACAGCCATCGACGTTGGTGAAAGATTCCCGCCTGTTGAAGTAGACTCGAATCTCTGGATCTTCGACTGATCGTGCATCGTTTGGCCAACCCTCACGAATGAACTGCAGCACCGCTTGTAGTGGTTCATCTGCCTGTGTTGCACTTTTGATGTCTGCGAACGAAACTGGTACCTGCTCGATAGTGTTTTGAATAATGCTCACCATGTCTTTTTCTAGGGATATCGCTGCCACAACGTACTCCTCTTCTTGCTGCTTAGAACGGTCGATGAGTCTTGACAGCATATTGGCGCATCCGAGGTCGTTGGTAGACACGTGCCGAATGTCGAAGTCGCAGTTGAGAAGCATCAATGCCCATCGTTGAAGTCGATTTGCGGTGTGCAAAGGAATGCCCTTCTTCGATCCAAAGATTGATAACAGCGGTTTGTGATCCGTGAGCAGAGTGAATCTGCGCCCAAGGAGGTACTTGTGAAACTTCGTTACCGCATATATTAGTGCAAGTGCTTCTTTTTCCGGCTGCCCGTAACCTTTCTCCGCTGGAGTGAGGGATCTTGATGCGTACTGGATTGCCTTCAGATGTCCATTCAAAAATTCATGGAAGATCACTGCACCGATGCCCGTGCTGGAGGCGTCCGCTGCTACGATGATTGGTAACTTCGGGTCGTAATGCGTCAGCAACATATCGGACTGCAGGATTTGCTTGAATTGCTCAAAAGATCGTTGGCAATCGGAATTCCACTGCCACTTCGAATCCTTCTTGAGTAATTGGTCGAGAGGATGACGAAGTTTATGGATGTTGCGCACGAATCTGTCGTGGAAATTAACGGCTTCCAGGAACGATCGCACTTCGGGTGGGTGCCGGAATAGAGGCGATGGCTTGAAGGTTCTCTGGATCCGGACGGATGCCGTTTCGATCGACGATATGCCCCAAATATCTGATTTCGGTGTGGAAGAAATGGAACTTTTCCTGCTTGACATGGAACCCATTTTCCCCTAGACGTTGTAGTAGCTTGTCTAGTGACGCCTTGTGTTCTTCCCAGGTTCTTCCGAAGATAATAGCGTTGTCAAGAAACGACCGAACACCAGGAATGTCGGCTATCATGCTGTCAACCAGTCTTTGGAATGTTCCAGGCGCTGACTTCAACCCTGGAGCGAGCCGGTTGAATTGGAAGAGGCCTCGATGCGTATTTATGGTGAGGAACTTCTTCGATTCTTCATCTACTTCCACTTGCAGGTATGCATCGGAAAGGTCGATGATGCTGAATATGGTGCTTTCGTTGAGCTGTGCGAAGATCTCCTCCGGGGTAGGTAGAGGATAGTGGTTTGCTTCAAGCGCTTCATTGAGTCCCGTGGAGTAGTCCGCACAGATGCGAACTTTACCATTCGGCTTGCGTACTGCTACAATCGGAGCGGCCCACTCTGAGAAATCGAACGGCGTGATGATTCCCAGAGACTGAAGACGTGTTAATTCTGCATCCACCAGCGGAATCGTGTTGAACGGAACTGGTCGCTTCGAACAGAAAACTGGTTTGGCGTTAGGTTTGAGGAATAACTTTACCTTGGTTTTCTTGCAGTGGCCCAGTGAGTCGTCAAAAACCGCCGGATGCTCGGCTTACAGCTGTGCTCTAGCTTCGGCGAAACATGGTCTGGATACAGCAGAAACTTGATGGCAGAGAGTATTGAACGGAACCAACCACAGGTTGAACATGTCGATCCAATCAATACCCATTACGTTGAGATCTGGTGATGACATTACGAAACACTGACCACGCTTGACCATGTCATTGAGGACTGCTTCACAATGGAATTTTCCGATGAGAGCGAGTGGTCCACCAGATGCGTTGGAGGCTTCGATCGATGATGGAGTTAGCTCATGAGACCGTTGATGTTGATGGTCACATACTTGCGTTTCCGGTTGCTATTTGCGATGTGCTTCACGAAAATTCCCTTGGCTTGAGATCTGGGACCGGGCTTCTTCTGGAACTGCTTCTTCTCTCGAGGTTGAGTTGAAGAGTCGCTTGAAGACTTCTTGATGCAACTACAGTAGCCTTCTTTATGACCGATGCGGTTACATACCTTGCAGAGATGGACAGTCACGGACGTAGTGCATCTGACCACACTGCCAGCATGGAGTACGAGGAGTGGACATGCTTTCCGTTTTCAGTGGACGATGCTGGTTTCCGGGTTTCTTCTCCGAAATGCTATGGACCGAATTCTTCGAACTTGATGGATGTTCGATCATCGTAGTGTCCGACTTGATGTTGACGAGCCGCTGGAGCTCGTCGATCAGAGTTTGAATTGTCACCGGAGCATCAGCCGTTTCACCTTCAATCCGTGATAGAAGCCTTGCTAGAATGTCCGCGTAGCGTGGTGCTTTGAGACCACAGACGAAAATCAAGCACTTGAAGTGATCAATCTTCAAATTCTGGAACTCGAACTCTGCACATGCCCTGTTGACGTTTCCGCCATAGGTGATTATGTCGTCGGCCTCGGACTTGAGTAGCTGCATGCACTGGTAGCGTTTGTGGAATACGGAGGTCTGTCTGCCGAAGATCGTTGTGAGTGTCTTGACGGTATCGGCAAACGTGACGTCCTTTGGTAGTTTCGGAAGGATGTAGTTGACGTAGCGACTGTAAGAGGACGTTTCCAACTTCCGGAGCAGAAGCCTAACTTTTGCTGCGTCGTCCAGACTTCGTGCGTCGCTTTCAAACAAATCCGAGTAAAGGGCAAACCATTTTTCGAATGTGGTGCCGTTCTCCGGATCGAAGCAGAACTCGCTGCTGTTCGTCGACAGGGATTCCAAAACTTGCTCTGGGTTCGTTGCTTGTGGAACAGCCAACCGCTGGAGAAGCTGCAAAATCGCTGCTTGGAGTTCTTCGTTTGTCACCGCCATCCTTCCTGGGTTCGATTCTGGAATTTCTTGAACTTGTGAGCTTCCAGAAAAATCCTCGTCGCCAACTGAAGTGTTCTTCTCAAAGAATAAAGAAAGTTTGAGTGCTTCTAACTATACGTTTATTCAGGTTGACATCTACACTTCGAATGACTAATTTTTCCATCTCGGTCGCAGCTGTAGGTTGCTACGATTACTTGAATGGAACATCGTGATTACTTGGATGGAACACAAACTAAAGATGAAAAATGAAATCTATGTTAGTTTTAGATTAAACAATTAAACCAACAAGTTTAAAAATTGATAAAATTGTCCGTAAGTTCTCCAAAACTTTCAAAATTTTCCGGTTGTTGTCGGATGAAAATCAATGGTTTACCAGCAAACACTTGTCATTTATTTCAATTTACTGAGCAGAAAGCATTTCTGGTTTTCTATTTGTTTGACTGTGCTATACAAATTGTTGTATAACTGTTTCCGTAAAGGGTGAGGGGGCACTAAATCCCTCAAAAACTCTCACACAGCCCTTCGCATGAAATATCACTTTCCCAAAGTGTGTCTCCTCTATCAATTCTTACAACTTGCCTGCTACAAAAAAAAAAACGGAAGGACACAGTTGCTTCCTCACAACCCGGAAGCGGTGCCATTAAGCAAGATAATCGACACGAAATGGTCGATAAGAACTTGTAAGCTTCTTCTTCTGAACTTGTGCTCCGGCTACTGTATGTAAGTCTCTCTGGGCGGTGTCGGATTACGTTTCTTTTCGTTCTGTCACATGGCCCTCTCTCCACCTCCAGTGACCTCGGTGCGTACGGCGAAAATCAATGACAATGGTTCTGGGGCATCCGACGTCGACGACGGGTTGGGGTGGGGGTGGCGGTGGAGGGTGACGGAAAATTAATTGTCCAAACGTGAGAGGAAATAATGAATCCAGCTGCGGGCATCCTTCCGGCATCCAAGCATTGTTATGGTCGTTGTCGTCGTTCGAATGTTGTTGTTGTTGTTGTTGAAGTTGTAGGGCAGAGATTTTCCCCTTGCGATAATGCTAATTGATTGATTGATTCGACACTCTTAATCAGATTGATCTCCGAGCGGGCGGCGTGCGGTTGACGGCGTCCGGCGCCTGCTTTTCGATTCATTGCTTTCTAGGACGACGTTTATCGGTCAGGTCATCATTGACATTTTGAACCGAATAATGAGATTAGACCTCGGATTAAACGCCTTTCGGATTGTGTTCGCAGTGAGGGTCGAATTAAGTGAAGGTAGTTTTTTCTCAGCTGTCAAATTAACAGCTTTAGTATAATTAATTAAAAACTGTTTAGCATAAACTCACACAGAGAATATTATCGTGAGAATAATTTATTAATTGATGAATCCATCCAACCACAACTGTCAATCTTTATCTTCTAAGCTGATGTCATCAACTGCATATATACGACCACGCGTTGATGATAAATATCTCCTCATCTGTGAGCGCAGTTCATCAATATGGATCTGTGCAGCAATAAATCCGACTGATTATGATGCTACGTTCGCTTGAATCCGTCCGCCTGTCTCTTCGACTGATTATTAATTCCATAATGGATCAGTAATTGCTTATCGCTCTCTCTAATAAATTAAGCTGTTTTGCTGCAATCAATCAGAGCCGATATAGCATTAATATCTGCCAGTGGCGACCGAAGCCGTGGGAATCGAAAACGGGACATTTAATCGATTGAATTGATTGAATCAAAGGTCAATGGAGATATTAACGAGTCATGTTGGATCTAGACATGTACGCAGGGATGCCAGATGGTTTTGCCAAATGTCTGTACGAAAGCTTATTAAATGTCTGTATTTGTCTGTACCAGGAATTTTGGGCAAGTTTTGTGAAAATTATTTCACAGCAAGGTTGCAAATATTTGTGCAACGGAGTTTGGCAGCTCTGCGACCCTCCCTGAGGACTCTTGAACTTTTGCAAAATTTTGTGATCTTTCACGAAGGGTCATATACTTCCATGAGATTCCCTACATTTGTATGGATTTAGTGAGCTTCTCTTAAGTTTTCAAATCATTTTGGAGTTTAATTAATTAAATCCCCGAAGAGCCTTGGGGGTTGTTCATTAACTACGTAGACAGGTTTTTGGGATTCTTGACTATCCCCCCTCCCCCTGCATTGACAATTGTCCATACATTTTTTTTAATTTGTACGGGCCGTGGATAATTGCCAAAATCCCCCACTAAACTGTCTACGTAGTTTATGAACAGCCCCTGGTTTAGAATCATAAACTTCTCTGAAGTTCTTCCAACTTCTCTGAGGTTGTTCTAAAACTCACTAAACGAACTTTTTTTAGCTTCTCTCAATTACGATGTATTTTCTAACTAAAAAATCTAGGAAACCTCTCTGGAATTCACATAACTTCTTTGAAGTTCACGCAAATATTTTTGAGGTGGTGTTACATGAATCTTTCTGAGATAAGTTTTCTAAACTCATGGAGTAACCAGCTACCATAGCCAATTTGTTTTTCTTTCAATCAAAGCTAACTGGGTGCAGAGCGGGGTTACTTCCATTCACTTGCTTTGAAAAAAAAAGTTTTCGAAATTTGGAAGTCAGTATAGTTCCTATGCTATAGTTCCGAGTTCCAAGAAATACATCAAAGTTCAGAAATTTGAGATCTCTAAAGATCTTTAATGATCTCGAAGTTCAGAACTTTTCTGTAGTTTTCGGAAGTTACCTGAAGTTTTTACAATTTCTCTGAATATGTGGATAGTTAAAGTTTCAGAACTTATCAGAATTCCTTAATTCTCAGAACTTCATTAAAATTTCTTTCTGTTAGTTCCTGAAATTAGTTAAACTAAAGGGTCCCACATCAAATTGCATCACGAAAAAAAAAATACGCTTTAGAAAATTAACCATTAGATATTTTTTCTTGAAAATTTGGGTAGAAGTAGTTTATAGTGTATTGTTTACGCTGTCAGTTTTTCGAAAGTTGGAAAAAATGGCGTCACCCGAAAAGCAACGTCGCGAATTGATTTAGCGAAAGCAGCTGGAAAATCCTCAATTCTCTCATTGGGACATTACTACGAAACTCTGAGCATCGAACGGAAGGAGAAATGCCATCAGAATGGATGTTATATTAGTGATGAGGATCACACGTGTGTCGTAAAAGCGTTTAAGCGGAATCCCAATGCTTCGGTCAGGGATGTGGCCAAAAAGTTAAATCTGTCCAATTCCTTCGTTCAAAGAGCCAAGGAACGGGAGGGACTGCATACGTACAAAGTGCAGAAGGTTCCAAATCGTGACGAACGGCAAAATACGGTGGGAAAGTCACGGGCCCGGAAACAACTGTAAACTCAGATGCTGACGAAGCCTCATTGTCTCATGACTTACGTCAAGGCGGGCTTTCGGTAGCTTCCCGGGCTACTGTTCTTCACCGCCCAGCACAAGTTTGATTTTCCGGAGGAAGTAAGGAACCAGAAACTTTCAAAGTTTGCCAAGAAAAACATGATTTGGCAAGCGATCTGCTCATGTGGCAAATGAAGTGCACCGTTCGTAAACTACCGGGACTGTAAACGGGGAAATCTACCTCATGGAGTGTCTACAGAAGCGTTTGCTTCCTCTATTGAAGCAACACGAGGGCCCTACGAGTTTTATTAACTTCAAGTAAATTTCTCGAGCTTTGGAATTGCGGAAACTTTTTGGAACTTCCGAAAACTTAAGAAGCAAATTGAGAACTTAAGGACCGGTCAATTAGTTTGAAAACTTTATATTAGTTCCATTAACGTCAGAGATATCCCAGCAGACCTGTGTTCAATCCCAGTCGGCGTCGCCGGGATGTTCTGAGGCATAATACCTCTGATCACGCCTTCCTTTGGAATGGAAGTAAAGCCGTTGGTCCCCGGTCTATGAGCTAATGGGTCGATAGGTAGGGTCCAGGTGTGGAAGCTGCCTTCCTGTCGTCGTTAGCATTGGTGCTCAGCACGGAAAACAATTTAAGGAAAAAATTAACGTCAGAAAAAATTTGGAAACAGGGAAGGATGAGAATTTATTGGAATTTCTTAGAATTTATAGCAAGTTTCAAAAACGTGAGGGTAGTCCCGAAAAGTTCAACTTAACTTACTTAAGGGTCCTGTGCACCACCAGCGGTGCAAAGGGCCAACGTGAAAGACTTCCATCCTGGGCGGCTGCTCGCTTTTACCTTGACCTGGGCCCAGGTCAGATTCCTATCGACTTGCTTAATTTCCTTATTGAGGCTCCGCCGCCATGAGCCCTTGGGTCTGCCTCTGCTGCGATGTCCTGCCGGATTCCAATCCAGCGCTTGCTTGCAGATTTCGTTTCCGCCCCGTCGAAGTGTGTGGCCGACCCACCTCCACTTTCGCTCTCGAATTTCTGTTGCTATCGGCTTCTGATGACATCGACGATGGAGCTCGGCATTCGAGATCCAGTTGTGAGGCCACCAGGCACGAATTATATACCGCAGGCATCGGTTGATGAAGACCTGCAGCTTTTGAGTGTTCTCCACTGATACACACCACGTCTCGCTGGCGTTCGAGTTGAAAATTCGGATTTTGGTGCGTTGACTTATCTGGTTGGATCTCCATACGTTTCGTAAACTCGCAAAGGCAGCCCTAGCCTTCTTGATTCGTGCACTTATGTCACTCTTGGTCCCGCCGTCCGACGCTATTTGGCTGCCAAGATATTGGAAACTTTCGACCTTCTCCACTGCTTGCCCCGCTACCGTAAAGTTGGAAGAGTTGCCCGTGTTGATATTCAACGATTTGGTCTTGTTGACGTTGATGGTGAGACCCACCGCAGAGGAGCGTTCGGCTAGGTCATTGAGCTTACTCTGCATATCAGAGCGCCGTTGTGCTAGTAGAGCAACATAATCAGCCAAATCGAAGTCGTTGAGATGCTCCGGTTTGGTACACACTCAATTGCACCTACCATGATCTCGTCGATTACGATGAGAAACAGTAGCGGTGATAGTATAAATCCTAGTCTCACACCAGTGACTACCCGGATAGGGT